CACATAAAGTCATTATAACCCCAAAGTTGATTATTTTCCAATAATGGTACAACCCCAAAATGTTTTATTCCTCTTATACCATAGCAATTTGTCATTGATTAAAAATTTTAGTTTACTAAAGAATGCATGCATATTTTTAACCTTTACACTTTATAAAAAAGTTTATACTTTTATATAGTTTTTTCTCTCTTAAAGTTAATTAGACAAAAAAAAGCAGCCATGCATGATACCGTGTCCTGAGGACTTTCCTGTGGTGGAAAACCTACTGACTGTAAGAAAACGCTGACAATGAGCACCCCTTCCATAAATGTCTCCTTACAGAAAATTTCTCCATATCAACAATTATATTATTATCTTTGTTAAATGAAACACGTTTTTATCCATTTATTATTAGGCTTAGAATATGTAGAGCATCTGCTGAATTAGTTGTTTCTATAGAGGCGATAACGTATGAGAGCAAGCGCATTAATATATACCTGTGATTTGAATTACAGCTGGCACTATCATCAGAGCTGCTGTTACAGAAAATTAATCAATGCCTTCTGACCATCCAACAGCACTGTGGTATAATATAACGCTATCTCACCATATAATATTAAATCATTTCTCTTATTCATAATACTCATCATGGCTCCCGAATATCTCCCCAGAAATCAAGCAGTGATGTGATTGAAAACTTTCACGTCTCATCGATAATGCATGTTTGTATTTCATCTCTGCAAAGGTGTCCAGTGGGGTTTGCATAAGCAACTCCATCAATATGTCGTAAACAGATGCTCTCCCAGGCACAAGATACACAAGTTGCAGCTGAGCTGTTTATGAGACTCCATACACACACTGTTTGGAGTTAGTAATGCCACAATATGGACAGACGATTACTTCTAACAACAGCTTAGATGTCTACTTGTGATTAATGTCTATGGTGCGCCATGTGTATTGAAAGGGACTCACGACAAAAGGTGTGTATGGTATTAATAAATGTGACCTTGTGTAAGACTCACTCGTCCCATCTCTGAGTCCATCAGAATGTAGAGAACTCAGACATTAGAATTACTTTGTATGAAGAAACCAGTGGTCATTTTGGGCCTACCAAACAGAAAACAATAAGAATATTTTATTGTATTTTTTCCACAATATTACAAAACAGAATAGAGAAAAACAACAGAAGCAGATAAAGTTATAGTAAGAGCACACATCCCAACACACACGTTTGTCTTACTATCCTTATAAGGACCTTCCATTGGTATAATTATTACTGCACCTAATCCTAATCTCAGTAACCAAAATGATTTTTAATAAAAGCTCTTTTTTTTTTGTAAAAAAAAGAAAAAAAATGTGCCCACAAGGTCAAAATGGTCAGATATTCCAATCCTCATGAGGACATTTGGTCCCCACCAAGTTATAAACTCACCTGCCATATACACATACTAATATTATATTAATTATAAAGAAGGTTACAGAGTTACAGGGCAATGATAATTTGCAAAGGGAAGGGACATTGTCAGGCCTTCCATATGCGAAATTAACAGAACTCGAAACAGTAAAAATTTCACTAGACCCATAAAAATATTAAATTTTCTTAAAAACAATTCCAGTGAATGAAATACCTTGTAGGAAGAGAGGTATACGCTATGATACGCTATGTTAATTTGGCCAAATCACAGCAATGTGGTACTAAAAAAGCCAACTATGGGATTGATTTCTAACATTAACTTTGACAGTTATAAATAGGTTTCAAACATGGACCCTTAGTAAAGCTGGGAAAGACCGGCATGAATGGGACAGACTAGCATGGGTTTTTTTTACATGTGGTGTAGTAACTGTGCTTGGCAAAGGCAGGCAGGCAGTGGACAACCTTGAATTGCAAAAAACCATGCCTCATACAAATTGATGAGGAGCAAATGCTGAAGTATTTTGTTCAGTTCACCAAACTCAATTTCTAGGTACCGCTTCCAGTTTTTCAATTATGGAAAGTCAACTGGTCAAACTGAGTAATATCTGTATACAGTTTGGATATATTTCTACACAAGTCAAGTCAAGTCAAGTCAAGTGGCTTTATTGTCATTTCAACCATATACAGCTAGTTAGTACACAGTGAAATGAAACAACGTTCCTCCAGGACCAAGGTGCTACATAAAACAAAACACAGAACTACAGTAGACATTACATATATTTACATAAAGTGCACAGTGCAAACATGTACAGCTGGCACAAGACAGTACGAAAACTATCAAAACAAGACAATGGGCACGATGAGTTACAGTGCAGCGCCGACTAGCACACAGTACTAATAAAAAAGTGAATCTTATGACAGTAGTGCAAAAAATTGACAAAGAGGATGGGGTTTTGCTCAGTTGAGTGTGTGTGTTTTCAGTCCAGTCCCTGAGTGTTGAGGAGTCTAATGGCCTTGGGGAAGAAACTGTTGCACAGTCTGGCCATGAGGGCCCGAATGCTTCGGTACCATTTGCCAGACGCCAGGAGGGTGAAGAGTTTATGTGAGGGGTGTGTGGGGTCATCCACAATGCGGGTGGCTTTGCGGATGCAGCGTGTGGTGTAAATGTCTGTGATGGAGGGTAGAGAGACCCCGATGATCTTCTCGGCTGTCCTCACTATCTGCTGCAGGGTCTTGCGATCCAAGACGGTGCAATTCCCAAACCAGGCAGTGATGCAGCTGCTCAGGATGCTCTCGATAGTCCCTCTGTAGAACACGGTGAGGATGGGGGGTGAGAGACCCCCCATCCTCACCATCTTCCTTCAGCCTTCGCAGGAAGTAGAGACACTGCTGGGCTTTCTTTGTTATGGAGCTGGTGTTGAGGGACCAGGTGAGGTCCTCCGCCAGGTGAACACCAAGAAATTTGGTGCTCTTGACGATCTCCACGGAGGAGCCGCCGATGTTCAGCGGAGAGTGGTCACTCTGTGCTCTCCTGAAGTCAACAACCATCTCTTTAGTTTTGTCCATGTTCAGAGACAGGTTATTGGCTCTGCACCAGTCCGTTAGCCGCTGTACCTCCTCTCTGTATGCTGACTCATCGTTCATGCTGATGAGACCGGCCACGATCATGTCATCGGCAAACTCGATGATATGATTCGAGCTGTGCATTGCTACACAGTCGTGAGTCAGCAGGGTGAACAGCAGTGGACTGAGCACACAGCCCTGGGAGGCCCCAGTGCTCAGTGTGGTGGTGTTGGAGATGCTGTTCCTGATCCGGACTGACTGTGGTCTCCCAGTCAGGAAGTCCAGGATCCAGTTGCAGAGGGAGGTGTTCAGGCCCAGCAGGTTCAGCTTTCTAATCAGGTGCTGAGAAATGATTGTGTTGAACTGAAGTCTATGAACAGCATTCGAACATATGTGTCTTTTTTGTCCAGGTGGGTGAGGGCTAGATGGAGGGTGGTGGTGAAGTCTGATTTAATGGCAAAGATCAATATATGATAAGGGTGGTAAATGGAGAAAGACATATTTGCTTGAAAAAATAGTTGAGCTGTAGATACCTACAAAAAATGGGATTTGGGTAACTTAAATTCCCTCTTATTCATGCACAAATGACACAAAAACAAGATAATCTTTGGCATCTATGGATCAATCCAGTTGCCATTTTTGGGGCAGAGAGGATCGGCATTCACGTGACATCTCTCTTAATACACTACGCACTAATACAGTGGGTGAGGACTGAAAAAACAACATGTTAAATGCATCCCGTAGTTATAGATAGGGTACCCAAGCTTAGCAGAGTTTGCTTGGTCAACCCAAAAGACCAAGCTACACTATATGGCCAAAGGTTTGTGGACACCTGGCCATCACCTATATGTGGGCCTTCCTTAAACGTTTGCCACAAAATTAGAAGCACACAATTTTGCGATGATAAATGATATGGCATACATTGCCATTACTATTTATAGTTAGGCTGTAAAACCAAAAGTTTGTGGACACCTGACCATTACACCCATATGTGAACCTTACTCAAACTGTTGCCACAAAGTTAGAAGCACATAATTGTATAGAATGTCTTTGTATGCTGTAGCATTACAATTTCTCTTCACTGGAACTAAGGAGCTCAAACCTGTTCCAGCATGACAATGCCCCTGTGCACAAAGCGAGCTCCATGAAGACATGGTTTGCCAAGGTTGGAGTAGAAGAACTCAAGTGGTCTCCACAGATCCCTGACCTCAACCCACTGAACACCGTTGTGTTGGATGAACTGATCTTGTGGCTGAATGGGCAAATCCCCAAACCCACACTCCAAAATCTAGTGGAAAGCCTTCCCAGAAGAGTGGAGGGTATTATAACAGCAAAGGAGGACTAAATCTGGAATGGGATGTTCAATAAGCACATGCGGGTGTGGTCAGGTGTCCGCAAACTTTTGGCAGTATAGTGTTGTATGCTAGCTTATATTGAAGACTAGGAATCTCTTGTCAGTAACAATGCACATGCTTTCCAGCATTACAGTTAAATAAGAGTCACAACTCAATCACCCATTCACTATCATTCCAATAGCAGGAAAATGAATTACAAAAGGATACAAGACATTCTCCTGAACTCAGTTCAACAGAGCCATTTTGAATGGAGTCAGTGTTTAGTGACTTTTTGTATATTATCAGCTCCACTTTAAAGTAGTTTCCCATTCAAGGTGAAATCGTAATATAGGGCAAGTAAACTATGAGTCATACATGCATTATGCCTTAAATGACTGCTAAATTAAATACATGACACTGAATCATAGAATAGTCTACTGATCGTGTAAAACTGTAATACAGTTTATGAAATGTTTAGTCAGAACATGCTTTCAAAAGTCTCCTTTAGATCCATGGTTTGCAAATTAGGGTCCAGGAAACCCCAGGGATGCATGAAGCATAGCCAAGGGGGTTCATAATTTTTTAAAATTTAATTACAGCAGTGGAACCCACCATTATCAAAGATATTACATTCATTATTATTGAGTTCTTACGGTTATTAGCCTTGACACTACAACTGAATAGGTTTAATCCAAATCTCAATCTCAGGGTCCCTGGAGGAATATTGGTTATGCCTTGGTGCTCTCACCACCATGGCCTGGGTTCAATTCCCAGGCAGGGAATCCTAACAGGAGCAGCCAAAAGAAGAAGAAGAATCCAAATCTCAATAACAAAAACAAGTAGGTCTATAAAAAAATGGCAACTTAGGACAACAGAAATGTGTTCTGTTGGTATAAAGTTCAGGAATAAAAATCTCTATGGCTATAATAAATCAAATATTATAGTACACATTTAAATAATTTTAAGGAAGTCTGTAATGAGGGGGGTTCATAGAATATATTTTACAGTTAAACGCACACTGAAAACTGCAACATCTTCATCTCAGTGGAAGCGCCGCCATTTTATTTTGAACACACAACTATACAAAGTGCTCTTTCACCTTTTACTAATTACTGTTTACTCCATGGGTATGTGTTTGATGGGCAGCTAAGATCCTCTTACTGTGGAAACACCATGAAGGTCCAGAAGTTCTTTTTTCGGTGACTCTCAGAAGCACTTCTAACGAAACAAACCAAGCATAAGTCCATTTCATCGGAACTTTTGTCCCTTTTGGATAAACATACACTCATTCATGATGCTCAGAGACCTGATATTCAGTACTCAATGTGTGTGGGATGGCTGGCAAGCACTGTGTTTCCTCTCAATGCTAAACTGTCCTGACCTGTTTCAACAGTTTTAGATTATCATAATATCACAGTTTGTTTACAGCATTTTCTATCATTTTCCTCTTGAAATAAATTAGGGAAAGACTGGTAAATAAGAAATCTAATGTATGTCAGTGAAAGTGATGGTAAAATGTTAAAAGATATCAAACAAGCTATGCTTATACATCAGTCAAGACTCATAAATCATTTAAATCAGCTGAGAGTTACCAAAATGTCATTTATCATTAGACCTCAAATTTGTTTGAGAATTTTTTCAGAAGTATTAAAAACCATTAGATAAATGGTAAAGAATATAAAAGCGGGCAGATACATTAACACAGGATTAATAATGTACTCTCAAAAAGAAGGGGAAAAAATCTACACGCTAAACACAAATTATAATATAGATTCTGATATTTTTAAAATAAGAATAAGATTCTGTAGGAATCCTTACTTTGCACCACAGACATAGGGGATTACAAACAAAATGGGTGAACATACAGACGCAATAAAAGATTCAGATAAAATATAAAGTATTCAATATCTCAGCATAATGTAATTTGACTTGGATCCTGTCATCTTCAGAAGGTTGGCAGAAAAATGTATTTTGCTGGATGGGAGGGGATCAGGAGTGGCGCAGCAGACAATGCATAATACAGTTAGTTATTAAAGGCAGTATGCTGAATTATTTAGAGTCACTTGCAGTTTCGCTCTATGACAAGGTCAGCTTAGAAAAGTGGCATTAAAGTTTCATATTTGTGCTTTTCCTGGATCAAGTTAAGTTTCAAAGAATCGATTAGCTTCATGTTTGTGAGGAAAAAAACAAACTACAACACATTTTGATGGTCAAGTGTTCTCATGCTTCACAGTAATTTCTAAAATAATTAAATAACTGGGGGAGAAACATCAGAGATGTTCACTTTTTTGTACTTTTATTGTGTTTTATTAAGTAATTCTAGCAACACAGAAAAGCAAATGGACTCTAAATGTGCTGATTATTTTCCAGGACAAAAATGCATATACCCTAAAATTGCATTTGAAAGCAATACAAAATTGGCAATATGCAAACTAATTAGTTTTTTATTTTGCTCAGAAACATAATCACCTCCCACCTGGTTCTTTTTCTCAAACACAATTAGATTTTATAAAGCTTACTATAGATATATGGTTAAAAAAAAACAATTAAAATTTCCATGTAATTTTGCGCTACACTAGTGGCAGACCCACCCCCAGCATGTTTTTGTCTAACGAACCACAGTGATGTCTTTAGGTAATTATAAAGCCCAAGACAGCTGAGTCAGTATTGTTAGAAAGGAGGATACACACAAAAAAAAAATGCAGAAATAACGTAGTCATGTATAAGAACCATAGAGCATAACCATTAGACACAGAAAATGTGGCTACAACACCATGCATATAATAAACTGATCTGATTTAAGATCCAGATCTGATCCAGATGCAGATATGCACTTTAAAAGATTTCAGCAAGCCCCTGGATCCCTTTGACCTTCCCTCTTCTGCCATTCATGAGGCAGCTTTATTGATTTAAACAGGGGTTACAGGGCCTCGGAGTGCAGATTTAAATTGAATCTTGTCCAAAGTCCGTAGGCTCATTGCACAAGACACTGTCACTGAATCCAAAGTCACTCACATGTCAAGCAAAATGACACTGGATGTTTTCCAAATGCTGGTGTTTGAAAGGAGAGTTTTTGAAACGAGAATGTATTCTAACAAGTAACGGACACTGAGCAAAGTGCCAGGATCTAATAGTCTGATGCTAATATCTAGTTTCAGTACTCTTATCATTTGAATGTTAAATGTCTAAGCCAACTCACTGCTTGTAGCTGTTTCTAACTAGTAGAACTGATGTATGTAAGCTCACATTGCATTCTGGGTCTTTTAGCCTCACAGACTACATCATATGAACAATTTAAAAAAGAGAATATAGCTGCAAGCAGTGAGTTGTGACTTAGCGATGGAGGAAGACCAGAAGCCATTGGGACCATCAGTGATTGTTCCCAAGGTGATATACTAAATTTGAAGGCAATATGTCAATTAGTTTCTCAGATATTGCCTTGCTTCCTGTTTTCAGTAGCCCTCCTAAGTTAACTTCAGGTCATTTTGCTAAACATATGTGCCAAGGTTGATGACAATGCATAAGAGCGTTGCTGAGAATTGGCCCTCCTGTTTGGTGACTTTGATGTCAAATTTGTTTGAAACAAATTTTGTTCGGGTGCTCATGATTCTGTGATCCAAATTGTGCCAAATGCTGATTGGACAAAATTGTATGTGAAGAAGTTAAAAAAAAATGTGTTAAAACTCAAAATGGTGGACTTCCTGTTTGGCTGATCACAATTACATCAAGAGCACTCACCACCTGAAAGAAGAACGATGCTATGATCCAAATTTCATTATGCAAATTTGCAGGAGGAGAAGAGAAATAACTGTTTTTTGGAAAAATTCAAAATGGGGGAAAATCCATCTTTTTTGTAAGATGAATAGGATGTTTTTTGTAAAAGACAGAGAAGAAAATTCTGATTCTCAAAGTAAGTAAGTAAATAAGTTTTATTTATAAAGCATATTTACAACAACAATATTTGCCCAAAGTGCTATACATACATAAGAAGAAAATTATAAAATAACAAAAGACTAAAAATACCGACAAGGCACAATAGATAAATAATAATGCTATAATAGTAATGCTATAATTTAGAAATAAATAAAAAAGAGGCATGTCTTATGCTTTCTTATATATAAAATGCAGTTTTAAAGTGTGCTGGCATTGTGACTAGAATAGTTCATTTCACACATACAGAAATGCATTGGCACATGGTCTGTCTTTTGGAAATGGCACAGCAGGAAGGACAGCGGTATTTATGAAAAGTGCATCGGGGGGTCTCTCTATTCACTTTCAAACAATAGTTTACATTGAGGTGAAGAGGAAGAAACAGGAGCGCTGCATTTAGGAAAAAAACTGATACTGTCCTATTATTCATAGTTTTAGACCGCTGAGGCTGTCATACCATCTGGCAGTCAGGGCTAACATGCCTTGGGGAGGTGTACTTCACACCACCGATGAACTGCAGCTATAATAGCGGTGGGTAAAGGTTACATGTCTGAGATAACACTATTACAACCTGAAACAAAAGATGATGTAAGTTCAAGACACTCACATATATCACCTCTACCAATGCAGGGTATGGAAAGAAACTCCTACTGGCGAACAAGCTCTTATTGGCTCTGTTGATGAGTGTAGTGTGTTTGCATCTGTGCTGTTGTGAGATGAAGTCCTCACAACATTGACTGAAACATTCACATCATGTGTAAGCAAGGACGGATTAACCACTGGGCTGATTGGGTCACTGCACAACTGCCAGCAGAAAACAAAAAATGAGAAAAAGAATATGGACCTATTCTAAACAAATAGATGTTAGTGGAAGACCATGTGCTGTGGCTATTAATTATTGGTTTAATGAGATTCTGTCATATTGTTCATCCTGAGAAAGGACAGGATAGCACTATGGAACATGATATCAGTGGGCAGAAAAGATCGGCCAATGATTTTTCTTTAGATACTATACAGTTCAAGTGTGTGAAATTTCTCCTATATATGTCATTGAACTGGGAAAGAAAAGAAAATGCACTGGAACTAGTATTCATGATGAAAACTTGTTAGGCAAATGTCATCATGGCCTGGAGATTTGTGATCTGTCTGACATAGACAGTGTCTGGATGATGTGTTGGTCTTTCAATGGGCTGGAGGTCCACTTGATAAGATAACTCTTTCAGCTTTTTTTGTGATTGGATAAAAAAGAATTTTCTGATTTGATAAAAAGATACAGTTACAAATGCAAGTCACAGTCATGTGTTCATTATCATACAGTATGGGCATGTACTTGGGGGTGGGGTGGGGTGGGGTGGAGAGAGGGATTGTTGTTTGGGGCTTCCTATATAAACGTGAAATCAAATTTTCTATAGCCTACACTTAACTTTTTAAAATTACAATCTAAAAAGATTTATGATTGTCATGATTGCGAAACCTGTTCTTGCATAATGTTACTAGTAAATAGCAACAAAAGAGACACACAGGCAATTTTTCACAGCCCCAGTATCTCATGTCACGTTTTCATTGAACTGTGTTGTAATACTTCAGCTGTTGCTATCTCCAATGTTTCATTGTCACTGATGTACTTTTAGTCATTAGTTTCACTGCCATGATTATGCATCTGGGGTGAATTTGGGGTAGGCCAGAGCTGCCTATATAGCTCCCTCTTCCATTCTTTGCTAGTTTAGGAGCATATTGTTTATATATCTAGCAATAAAATGCTTTTCCATGCTGTTCTTTTGCAATATATTGTCTAGACTTTGTAGCTAGTTTGTTTCAGCCTGCTTTTAGATTAAATTGGAATTTAAACCAT